TTATTATATATTATTAGGCCTATTATTATTATTTATTATTATTATTTTACTTTTTTTAATTATAATTATTAATTTTTTTTTTGTCAAATAAAATTTGATATTGTGAAAAGTATGCCTATTAAGCTAGTAAACTTCTACAGTGCAATAAATGGCTTATTGTGTACATTTTGGTCTATATGTTATAATACATTCAAATTGAAATTATAAAAAAAGACAACTTTTGCCATGCCTTTTTATCAAACGCATTAAATGGACCAATTTGTTTCTTTGCAAGCCAAATTATTATCCATCACCATCATTTAAATACATATCTTGTTCAAGTGTAGATTTGGGGTAATTTGAATTCGAATGAATAGCTTTCATTATCATATGGGTTATCATGATACAATGCCAGAGATAAAAACCCAAAAGGTGTTGACCATCGATTTGCTCTAATCTAGAGGGCGCTTGTCTATTTATTCTCTCAGCAGCCGAAGGTGAAGTCTCTGGCTCGGTGAAAGCAACGCGCATTTGACTGCAAGCGTTGTTGATAGACAAACATGTTTTTAAATGTTCTTCTCATTTTCAATACTTCGTTTATAATGTGGGTGTACCCCAGACAGAATAATTAAATGTTTGTTTAAGAAAATCGATTATCGAAATTATTGTGAGTTCCATTGTTTTTGGATGCATCATGGTTTGTAAACATACTCTTATTGTGATTCAGTTCTTATTAGAGGAGGAAAAATACATAAAATCTTTGAAACTATATGTGCAATTCAGATATTAGGAAAAGAAAATCAAAACGTATAATGCTAGATTATCTGTCTACGAACTACAACTGGCTGCGTCGGGATCCCTTTATGATAATTTGAATGATGACATAGAATGCAGAAATTATAATCAACTCACTTTAATTACTTATATTACACTTTTTTTAATGCCCAGCAAAACATTTTGCTGAGGCTTATAGTTCTTATTCGTTTCCCCGATTTCAGGTTCAAAGTGTTCTTATTTTGTTCTTATTTTACACACCTGAAGGTAGAAAATTATTATTGTACAGCAGTATGTCATTATATTATTAAGTGTATTATTTACATATTAAATTTGAATATTTTTGTTTTCTTCTTTTTTAAAAATAATTTTGAAAAATTAAGGGGGAGGCTCCCTCCCTCCCCTTGAATCCGCTTATGGCGAAAAAAAAAAGCGAAAATAAGCATAATTATAAACCCACAAGGCGTGCCCTTGTGCTTACAATTTTGTACAAACATATCGCCTCCAAGGTGAAGATGAGCATTCACTTGGGTCGTTTTATATGTAGCTGCGTCGGTCTAGCTCTAGACGACCATCTCTCTCATCAGTTGGAACGTGTGAGTGCGATTTATGGTATAATCAGTAGCCTTGTTGTCTGCTGCCTTTGGGCTTTACACTTCTTGATCATTTTCTCGCGAATGCTTTTTTTATACGTCTACCTTTAGTGAACAGATCTCTGTCTTATGCATTGCATATTCACAAAAAAAATTTTGAGATACATTATAATTATATTGTATTATATATATATATACTACACATCT